GAGGGACAAAGCCCTTTCACTCACATCTGTAATTTCCTGGGGTTAGCTTTCAAGCGGGGAAGCTGGTGATGGAAAAAGAGCAGCATGTTCAGCCAGCGCTGCCTTTGTGGTGGTGGCTGCCTGGGGACAGCTCAGCTTCCAAAGCTGTGGGGATGGCTGCTCAAGGGAGGGCTGCAGGTGCTGCTGCATGGTCACTGGGAGAAGAGGGGCAGCAGGGGCAGGGAGACTTGGGGTGGGCTCTGAGGTGTGTCGTTAAAGGAGAAGGTATCTTGCCTTTAGCAAAGACTTATGTGGACTGATGTGAAGAACTATATATGGAAAGGGAACGTATATAGGATGTATTTCCATCAGAAAAAGTGAAGCAGTTGTAGTGGTGTGAGGCAGCTTTCAAGCAGGTGTAGTTGTGCTGGTTTCACTAATCAGTTATTAAAACAAACAGTTGCACCCCCAGCCAGCTGTTTCCTGCAGCTTCTGTAATTGCGCTGTAGAGCTGAGACAAATGGTTCCTCTGTTGTTGAGAGCAAAAGTAAATCTGTCACTCGTAGTTTCCCCTGTGGACCCCTGGCTGCTCTGGGCTGTTTTCTGCTGGCAGAGATGGGGCTTTTCTGAAAGCAAGGAATGGCCCATGGCTGAGTCCTGCTCTGGCTTGAGAGGCTGCTCCCTGCAAGAGGGATCTCTGCTGTTGCTCAACACCTTGACAGGGAATCAAGTTTGACTGGAACAAAACTGCTGGGGAACAGAACTGCTATTGCTCTGCAGATTTGCTTGCTACATTATTCCGAAAGGACTCTCTTGGTAGATAAGCACTACAAATTCTGTAACCCTGAGCATGTGATGGAGCTCTTATCTACACTAGTGGAAGAGTTGGGTTGTTTTTTTTGTTGTCCCCCCAAAGAGAGATGGTTCTGCTGAGTCTGAAGAAAACGCTGCCCTGGGCCTGGGCTGCTGTCCCTCCGTGGGGTTGTGTCACCTGCTGTGCCAGCTTGCTCAGGCCCTTAAAGCTGGCTCTGCACTGCACGGTGAGGATGTGCCTAAGGTCTCAGTGGTGGTAAATGAGCAGGTAGATGTTGTCTGCCAGTGGAGAGAGCCAAATGGGCAGAAGTAGCAGCTCTCCCCCCTGCCCAGAGTCCCCAGGCTGTTCCATGTGAGCGGGCTGAGCTCTGCTTGCCGCTGTGTGAAATGTGAGGGATTTTAGCTTTGCTCACGTCCTTCTCCCTCTCCCCTCATTACAGGACTGTCCCCCGTCCTACTTCAGCAGCAGCCAGCGGCTGGTGGGTCCCCAGTGCAGAGCGTCACGGCTGGAGAGCGCTGCCGACAACCCTGGTGTGCAGGTGATGACTGGGCCCCTGGTGGGGGGAATGGTAGTGAAGATCCTCATGAGTTTGGGAAGAGAATGTGGTCATTGGGACCTGTTGAGCTCCTGGGGCATAGAAAGAAGGTGCTGGACAGCCAGAGCAACTTTGGGAAGTGCTGACTGTATGTAAACACCTGCAGGGGAGGGGCAGGGATGCTGCAGAGGATGCCATGGTGCCTTGAGGTTTGTGGGCGTGAAGTGCCAGGCAGATCCCTCGGGGCTTGGGATCTTGCAGAGCAGGTTGTGGTGTAATTACCTCCTGCGAGGGAGGATTTCCTCTCTGGATTCAAGGAAGAGCATCCTGGCCTGAAGTAACTCGAAGTAGTACCAGCAAAGAAAGCCACTGCCACACTGACCTTTCTCTTCTGGGCTGGGCATTTCTAGGCTGAGGAGCTGTTCTGTGTTGGACCCCCCAGCAGCTACCAGCTCCCTTCCTGGGAGCAGCCTCGCCTGCCCAGCTACGAGAGTGTGCGGAAGAAAGATCGCCAGCGGGAAATCCATCAGATGATCGCCGAGAGGTTTGGGCTCTGGGCAGAGCCCTCCCAGGAGGTGAGCTCAGGGGTGCTGGCAAGGGCCAGCAGAAAATTCCTCCGCTTTGTTTTGTATCTGGGTCTTGCTTCAGCAATTTGCAGTAGTGAAGGACTCTGTTCTCTGTGATTACCTCTTCCCGATAGCCTTTATCTCTGGGAAGGGCACAAAGTGTACCAGGAGGCTCCTTTGGTGTACATCTGTGCTGGTTAATGATTGAACTCTCCCGGTGCATTTGCAGAAATGCCTGTGCCGGGAGGCAGGGCAGAGCTGCTGATGAAAGGGCAAGCCCTTCGGATCATCTGCTCCATGCAAGTCCAAGCTGGGAATGTTATTTTTAGATCTGTAAGGCTTCCACAGTTTCTTGCTCCCTTCTCTCCACGGGACACCTCTGGGAAGCCCCACACTATTACCTGGAAGTGTTTATGACTTGTTTATGAGCAGGAGGCTTTGCCTCTTATGACATTTTTTTGCCTGTTATGACATTTAAGATTTGCACTCCTGCATTAGAATAGAGAAAAGCGAGTGCATCTGCCAAGTAGGCCCTGCGGCAGCATCCCAAGAGACTCGTGTTGAACAGAAACCTCATTGACTAAAGCAGAACAGAAACATTTGAAACCTTGAGTAGAGCACTAAAGGTTCACTGATTTACCTGGGTTTTGGAGCTTTTTAAAGCTGAACCATAAACTGTGGCATAGTCGGCACTTGCTGCTCAGTGTTTGGAGCTGTAACTAATGATACCTGCCCCACAATCAGAGCACCAAGGGCACAGGAGAGTAAGGCCCCCCAAGGATGAGTAGTTGGGGAACTGCACTGGGAGGTCTTGAACAACATCCCTGTGCCACTCCTGTCACTCGTTATGGGGACAAAGCTATTCCAGCTCTGCCAAAATAAACATAACGACAGCCTGGAGGTTCTTCTCAGCTGCTGTTCAGTGAGACTCACTACCAAAACCTGGGTAGAAAGCCTGGGTTGAGGGTGTTTGTATAAATCCCAGTAATTGGTCCTTGGTTAAGGAAAAGTAAGTGACGGTCCTGTTTTAACAAAAGTCTTTTCTGGCCTTGTGACAAGTAGTGACAAGTCCTTGAAGGGGACAGGGAAGAGCAGAAACCTGGCACAGTGTGTGGGAGGGAACGTGCCTCTGCAGTGGATTTCTGCCCTGCTGTGTTGCAAACCAGTGCTAAGCACTGATCTTCCCACTGTTCATCTCGCCAGCAGCTCACTGCTCTAAGGGCTGCAGGAATTCAATTTCAGGCTGGTGGCTGTGAGCCTTGTCATCTGCACTGTAAGAAGAGGTGGGATAATCTTCTGGTTATTTCTGATCAGCTGTAATGCTCTTCCTCTCTCCTCAATAGATGCCGCCTCCCTACGAGCATGCTCTGAGGCATCCTCCAGCTTTCTCAGGAACAGTATTAAGCTCAGAGACCTTGGACAGACGTGCTGTGCCAGACCTTTTCCAGGCCCCCGTCGGCTACCAAACTCAGCGAAACACAGCCGTGTAAGGCCTCCATGTGCTGCTGCTTCCCGTGGTGTCAGCGACCAAGTGCCTGTGACATCGTTCTCATCCGCAGGGAGTGGCCAAACCTCAGCCCTCCACCTCGATTCGCCATCAGCCGAGACGCGGGCAGGTCAGACCCCGCCAGCAGAGAGGTCCCTTCCGCAGCACCGGGACAACCATAGAGCCACCGCCAGGCTTTGCTCTGAGTGGAGCAACCAGGGACGTGGCTTGCTCTTCTCTGGCAAACATACTGTTACCAAAGGCGAAGGACGGACCAGCTGCGTGCTTCTACACAGGGGGCAAAGCCAAGGTGAAAGTCTGCTCAGGCAGAGCTCCTCCAGGCTGGTGTACCATACGTCTGAGGCACGTGCTGCCAGCCGTGCCAAGGATCCGACCTCAGGCAGTGGTCACGTTGTGCTACTTCACTGACAAGAATTCTTAAGTTATAAAATGTTTTACTTTATCAGTGTATCAGATACCAGGTGGGAATCCTCACCTGTAAGCAGCAAAATGAATCTACATCTGAGCATTGCTGTGTGTTTGTGCGGCAATGGTTCTCTGCAGCTTTGAGCAATTTTGTATGGACTTCAGAAAAAGATGTGGGGAGGCTCCAGGGGTTGTATCACCTGCAGTGTGCAAATATCACCCACTGAGATGAACCGTGACTGGGTGTGCAAGCTGGGAAAGTACAGAAGAGTGGACAAAACAGCTGGTGGGCTTGATGAACATAAAGGAACAGTGGACGTGTGCCTGACCCAGTGTACCAAATCTTTTGCAGAGCAATCTAATAATGTCAAACTGGTGTCCTTACACCACCAATTTTGATAACCTGTTGTTTTCTACTGCAGAGCAAATGTTTCAAATTGTTTACAAACCTGTAGGTAAAATGAGATCACTTTGGCCACAGGGCATTTGAGCTCCTTTCTTCTGAGGCTCAAAAACCTCATGGAATGATTTTGGTAAGACAAAAGGATGTCTTCTGGATTATGGCTTTATGATACAACTCCAGCCGCTGAGCTTCAGATACCACCCCAGACTTCTGGATCTTACCTGGCACTCTAAAGTTAGTCATGAGTTCATTTTATGAGAGCAAACTTGCCTCACAAATGTAACGCTTTCAGATATGAGTTAATAATTGAGGTTAGAAGGAAAAAACCTAGCTTCCTGGGACACACTGATGCACTGGGACATACTGGGATGTACAAGTGGAAAAGAATCTGTGCTCTTCTGCAGTACTTTGAATAAGGATACAAATATAACAGTAATGTCTAAAAAGGAGTAAAAATAGAGGGAACTATTAGTGGGACAAGTACTGACATAAGAGTGACTGTAGGGAGAACTCATCCAGTGGCACAGTGGAACAGGTTCTCCAGAGGACAGCAGCTCAATGCTAAATGAACATAAATAACTCATTCTGTAAGCAGTCAAGACCTTCATCAGCCCCACAGCATTTATTAAACACTCTTACAAAGGCCAGCAGGTGATCCCAGGGCCTGAACCCTGACCACGTGTGGTGCGGGAGCAAGAAAACAAAGACCTAAGTTGGTATCTCCAGAGCTAGAACGTGCCTGTCCTTGGACGCCAGTCCAGCAGGAGTGGTCTGTCCCACCTGGTCCTTCCCCTCTGTCCCTACATGATGCAGGAGGCTCAGAGCATCGTGACCAGTTTAAAACTTCCTACTTCTGTGGTAGGGACAACGTTGATAAAGGTTTTATAAAGAATTGCTCCTTTGGGTAGACGACAGATCACTTCCCTGCTCTCACTGCTGCGGGGTGGAGGTATGTAGACCTCTTTGGTGTATCTCACAATCCCATCCTCCAGGGCGTAGAGTGTCTTGTTACGGCCCATCCCCACCTGGAAGAGGATGCAGAGTGTTAGAAACAAAAGGCTGGAAGTCCACCACAAAAGCAGATCTGATCACTGGTCTGCACTGGTTTGATATCCCGGCTTTAAAAACAGCATCTGCTGGAAAACCACGCTGCTTGCTTCCAGCCACCAGTGTGGAATGGTGCTCACTACAAGAGAGGAGATACTGGCTCCACCCTGAAGCACAAACACCCAGTTAGGTTACAGAAGTGTCTGGGGATATCCATAACCTCCAGTCCTTTCCCTGAGTCACATGGACACAGGTGTAACTGAGCAGGCTCCGTGACTAAGAAATACCAGGTAATGAAACCCAATTTCAGGATTATGTAGAATATAGGGAAGAGCATTAAAAACTAGCTTAAGGGAGAGGAGGCACTGAGTACAGGACTTTGCTGTGGGCTGCTGTTCTCTGAAAACCACGGAAAAGCTGGAAAAGCAACTTACGTAAGCCCCTGGATGCCAGCGTATCAACCGCTGCGTAGCCAAAATGTTGCCTGCGTGCACGAACGCACCTGCAACAGAGCGACAGAGTCAGACTGCAGAGAAACAGAGCTCCCTGAAGCCCAGGACTTTTCACAAATGGGCCCAGCTTTCTGGGGAAATTTTTTAAGGAAAAGTAAGTTCAAACATGAAAAGCAACTAAACAAAAATGCTGTTAGCAGGAAATAAAGGACAATTTATATACAATGGCAAAAAGCAATTCTGGTCTTTGAAAAGATTGTATCTAGGGTACAAGGCACTTTCTGGTTGCTGAAGGCATTTGTTTTATTACCTTTTACATCAATATGTTTCCATCAGCAAAGCTAATAATTATTAAGCACTCAAATGCAATAATCTGTACTTTGACTTCTGCTAATCCTCATCATTCTTCCCTCTGTAAACATCTCAAACGCCCAGCTTTTCAACACAGTATGGGGGAAAGTGCACTTCAGTTATGAGGTGTCCCACAGCATACCCTCCTCCCAGGCACTCCAGAGGCAGCATTAAATCAAAGTATGTTTTCTGTAGGCAATTTCAGCTGGCCGCTTGCATCCCCATCTAGGAGGGTGGCTGACTCACCCTGCCCTCCTGCCAGCTACCCTTGGTCGAGGGATTTCACTGAAGCTCCCCTCTCCTTTCTTTTGGAAGAGCGCCCTGGCCACCTCCTGCTGA